AAGGATCACTGCATCTAACTACAGCATTCCTGACGAACCCTAATATACACCACAATCAAATACTCCTTAACATTGTTAAAACGTAAGAAAAGATATTGTAAATGTTCAAATTGAAATCAGTTGAGAAAAATCCGCCATATAATAAAACATTCCACTCAGAATATCCACGAAAATTTCACATTATTGTATAATTCAAAGTCGAATCATTTGCGAATAAAGACAAGAATAAAATCAACTAACTCGGTGGATTGCCTGAAAAAGACGAAAGACTTATATGAGAAGATTGTTCTTCTATATAATATTTCAAATAATAGGGGCCTTAATATTCATTTGTGTACAATGAATGATTGAGCCACAATAAGTCATCAGACACAACGGCGATGAAGTTCACAGAGCTGTTAACAATAATTACTCAATGCATTCGGAGGAAATTCGTGTATTCCATTAAACTCGAATGCAGTCGCAATCGAATGTTTAATGGCCTGCTTTTCTCTATGCTCCTGTTCAAATTTTTTTAAAGTCTGGTGGATTTCAGTTCAAGTTCTCCTTCATTTTGCAAATTATTATTGGTCAAAACTCTGTTCCCCCATTGCCTTCAAAAATTATTTTCAATACGTTTACTCGGGGCAAAACTGAGCGAATCTATCGAAATAAAATTTATCTTTAATGACATAGTATGACTGATTGAATGAATATCAAGTAGCAACTATAAATTATATCATTTTGTATTCGGAAAAAATGGAAATTTAACATGAAATGAATTGCAAATGTGTCTAAATCGCAATCAGTTCTTGAGTATTTATTGTGATTTTCATTTGTCAACTATTGGTTCTATAGGGATTTTCTTTGATTAGTTGGAGCATTTCATCATCAGCTTAAATCTGTCAGATGGAAGCCGTGACTAGTAGGTTAAGTCAGGTTGAAGGTTAAGAAGTGACTCATTAGAAAAGACATTTCAAGGTGGTTAATGAATGTCATGATTTGAGAGAAGTTAGAATTCATGGTCCATTGAACCGGGTCCCAGTGGCTCAATGGTCTGTGAGCTCACCATGGAACCAGGAGTTCCTGGGTTTGAACCCCGTGGGTGTGTACCAGTGAAGGGTCACTGACCAAGAATAAACAGCTGCACAGTACTTCCACATTTGACAATGGTTCATTTGTGACATTTATTCGTCTCAAATCGTACAAAATATTTACATGTATTTGCGTGGTCTTCTAGAAACACATAAAAATCTGATTACAATGAGCTGTGCAGTTTTATTGAAAGGTTTCTCAGCTGTGCATATGTTATGCTGGTATGTTTAAAAATAATACACCATGGAAGTTGATAGTTCCCTATCAGACACTAGATAAAGCTATGCGTGCATAGCGAAAACTATATATATCTTGATTTTGTCTTAACTGTAGGCCGGACATAGTTGAATTTTGCGAAGATGGAATTACAAGCGTCCTACAGAAAGGATCAGAAATCTTGAACTGGCGTTTTGGAAATTTAGGTGGTTCCAAAGTACTAGTGCTACATATGACATTTTATCGAACGATTTCCATACGACTTTTGAAAGGAAATCCAGTGTGCAAGTGAACTGAATCCTACTGGTGGAAGAAAAGATTAATGCAATGCAACTGAAGCTGGAAAGAACAAATAATCTGGGTTTAGGGAGAACGAGAGAAGAGGATAATGAGCTGTAGACATTTCCCATTGACTCTCATTAGATTTCATCGAAAATTCTCATATCTGTATTAAATATAAACAATAAGGAAGTGTTACTCTTTTAAGAACTCATCAGCTCATTATACGATTGCCGATATAAGAATAGAACTTGTGCACTGTGTTAGAGTATAACTCCATTAGGGATACAATTCACTTTGTATAAAATCGCACAGTGTTATACGGTAATATTTACTGATGACGTTTCGAGCATAATTTTCCGCTCACAACCATATCAAGGCACTCAAACAACTTTCTAGAATAAGTGCCTTGATATGGTTGAGAACAGTGATTTAAGTTCAAAACATTATCAACGGTAAATAATACCGTATAACGCTGTGCGATTTTATCAAAATAAATTTTATCACAAATGGCATTATATGACTGACTGATTAAATCAGTTCGATAGAAAGCAAATGAGAATGGTTAGAAGAAGTTACACAATGTGAGTTGTGTGATGTGTATACCAATGTTCACAATGTACCTAGACGGTGGGTGGACAAAAGCGTGAAATACAGCGCCATTTCATTTCGGATACACTCAACAAAGATGTCGAACTAGTATGAGAGAAAACTCAAGAATTATATGGACTCACGTTTAGGTGTAGCTAAATCGCAGTCAATATAAATACAACAACTTGATGTTTAATTCACATGCATAACATAAAATAATATCACACAGCCATGTGTCATTCCTGAAGACAACCAAGTCAGTTTTGAATTATCATGTCATTTACTGATGGAGATTTATACAGCTGCGAATATACAACAGTAATGTGTTTCGAAATTAGATTTCGTGTATTGAATTGGTGATTCCTTAAAGCCAGCTAGACAATAATATGCCTATGAGTCGTAGGAATATACATGGAATTCTAATGCTTTCAATGAATGATTGCGGCAGAATTAGTCGTCAGATAGATTAATGGTGATTATCGCAGAGCATTCGGCATTGACTTCACACTGGTTTCAGCAGAAATTTCTGGATTCCCTGAACTCGCATACTCTCGTCGTGAAAGTAGTGTTAGTTATGTGTATGTGGTAGGAAATCATGGATTCTTTTGAGGCACATAAGTGATGCTATACAGTGGAATGTTTGATTCCAGTTAGTTAAAGACGAATGAAATTGGGCACACTCATGTTTTCTTGTTAGATGACCGATTTCGTGATGAGCGATCATGAAGTCACATTGTCTTATGAACAGATGAGTACTGTTATATGCTTCGATTGACAATATGTGCTAGGGACTGGCGTAAGTCTGAAGTGATTGCTGGTGTATGGCAGAGATTGTTGTTTGAAGCTGCGTCAGCTTCTAATCACAGTTTCATTCAACGCTGTGTGTCTCTGGTTATCAGTGAAATTATTTTACATGTATATAACCAGCGAGATTATATAGAGATTTCGATTCTGTTATATGTTTCATTGAAGCTTCGATAATCACATCGATTATTCTAGCTGTAATGCTCTAACCTGTGTCCCTCTGCCAGTCAACATCGACCAATGAACTCTAATAGTTTTATTTATTTTCATACCTAACTGCTTGATTTGAACTATCTGAATTGTTTTGTTTTCACCCCACTGCATATACAATTTAATTCTTATCATTATCATGTAATTTCAAATGTGACATGATCTTACATGTTGAAATTGCTGCATAGTTGTTAATACGCTTGTATTAATTTTTATAATCAATATTATTTGAATGATTTTGTTTTAATGAGACAGAATTCTGATGTTTTATTCGTGATTATAATCTGGGGATTTTGGTGAGTTTGGACAAATCACTGCTGTATACAAGCCTGCTTCTAGCCACATTTGTCTCCAGTACATGGAGAACCTGATTGATCAGTAATTTTATGGAGCGTATGTAAGTCACCGATTGACAGATTTTCTCTCTGCATCTGCGACGGTGATGATAACATTTGATAGGAATATCTTTCAGCTTTATGAGCTAACACCAAGCAAATGATCAGCCTCATTAAAAGTACGCAACACACCCACACACACAAGGAAATCTGAAGATGTCGACAACAACTGACTGTCAAATTATCCAATGTGTCACATAGAGAGAGCATGGGAGTATCTGATAGCTTCTTATTCTTTTGATAGCTACATTTTCCACATCTTGATATATGCTGCAACATTTCTTATTCTTTTTTGGTCTTCTACTCAAATTTCTGGTTTTCATCACCTATACGTTCTGTCTCTTTTCAAATGTATTGGTCTTCTGTACTTCTGACATTGTATCTGGTATTTATTTATAATTTATTGTCACGGTAAATACATTGCTTCTGCTAGTTTACCTAAATTATTTATGTCTTAATGATTCTTGAAACCTTATTAATTAGTGATAATTTGGGATTCTAATTTTCCTATTATTCCAAGTTGAAAAATCTAGGAGGTGGTCTATCAGTGAAAATTGCGGCTAATGTTTCATACATTTCGAGCGGTTATTCCAGTATATGCTAAGAATTGCACAGCCCACATTCATTAATGTTCAATTTCAATTAATGATTGTTTTCTGATTGTGATGTTTGTTTATCATAAAGGACACAAAATATTTACTTATATTTTTGTCCAATTTTTAAAAATATAATAAAATCCGTTTCACAATCACCATTACACTTTTAGATGAAACTTTATAGCGCTGTTCACAAGTAATCATGATATATTTCAAGTTTATACGTCATGGAAATTGTTGATTCCTGATGAGTATGCGTATAACTGGACAAAATATTGCATCAACAGCTATGTATAAACGTTTGAAACCGCAATTTTAGTTATTTATCTGCACTTGGCAAAGTAAATATGATCTCACTTGTTTTACTGCCTTTATAATAAGTACTGCAAACTTTTGGAAATTCTCTAAAGACTACTTTAGATATTTGACGTTCATGAGAATGAATTTCGATTATCACTGTATTAAAATCTGAACTATTTGACGGTGATTGTCGAATGCATTTGAGCATATTAACCTCTTTTTTATTTAGAAACACTGTCCTGTGACAAGAAATTCAAACTTTATAGTTTTGACAACTTACGAGGTTTTCACTACTCATAAGGTATTTGTGAAAATGATTGAAGTTTACAGCGTCTCATTTCACTATCTTGAATGAGGCGCTTGTTCTGTGCGGTCAGTTTCGATATCTGATATCTAACTAAGCATATCTTTTTTGTCTACCTGAGAGCTTATTTGTCCCTTCCAGATGTTATTGGAATCGAATATATAAATGCATTTATGAACTGGGCGTTTTTATATATATATATATATATATATATATATATATGAAATGTCTCTTGTAGAATGTGTATGCCCTAGATCAAGCATATGCATAAAATGCAAGCTGAAAAATAAACTTTATCCTGAAAGAACTCACGTTTATTTGAGAAATACCGAGCTTCTCTAAAACAATTCAACGTGAAATATCTTTGTTAGAGGAAGACAGCTTCTGGAGAAAAGGTTTTAAATTAATTAATTGAATATGATGACAACAGATATTGTTTTTATTTAATTTTGTAATCAACATTCCAATGAGAGTGACACATTTTTTAAATCAACGCTATTTTTTGGTTCATACTACTTACTAAATGATTAAATTATCAAATAGATTAATCAGGTTGTTTGAATGCGCGTTTTATGAAAGACTGAAATTTGTTAACCTAACAGTGCCCAGTAGTTTATTGTTCAAACCACTTGAAACTACGTGTTATTTGATCATAATACAGTGACATTAGAACAAATCAGTTTTACTTCCATCTGTTTCATTATTAACTCATATTATAATATCTGGATATCGAGCATATAATCGTAAACTGGTAAACATACGGTGTTTGACTTCCTCTCTCTGGCTGTATTCGGTGAATAGGGATATTCAAGACAGCTACTTCAAGTATGTCCCATTTTCCAGTTTAGTTCGTTTGTGTGGATATGACAAGAAGCATGGTTTTTATAACTAGGAAAACAGCACAACTAAAATTATGCTTCTGTGAGCACTTCGACATCTTTTATAACCTTGAACTGACTTGTCCATTTTCCTATTCCACACTCTAAAAATCTATTATAACTAATCACCACCATTGTCTGCTATTTAACAATATTTTGTAATGCGTTTTAGCCTAGCATGTTTGCCAGATAAATACGACTGTTTGTTTTGACACCCAATAACTAATATGTTATTCTACGTAAAAATTGTCACCCGCATAACTGGCTATTAATGTAATGACAACAAATGTAATTTATTTTATTATTGTAAAAACCTGAACAAAAATTATTGAATAGAATATTCTGCGTTCAGATTGACATTTAATTCATGATATGGGGATATTTGAAACTATAAAACTGGAGGATAATTAAAAAATGATGAAACTAGTAGTTAATTGGTTTCACGTCATATTTTCAGGTGCTCACAGTAAATAAATCAAATTTCAAACTGGATTTGTTTGGTAAAGACATCGTCAATGTCTTGCTATTATTGTTGAATTGTAAAAGAGCATTCAGCATCATATTTCTAGTAGGACTATGGAATCGTCGAATAATGTTCTCAGAAGTAAAACTTTTCAATTGAAACTATCAACTGTGGTATTTAATGGTGTTGTTTTCCAGTTTTCTGTTCAGTGCTGATCGTTCAGATGTGAAACATAAATATCTAAGCTATACTTTGATCAGTGACGCCCATTTGACTACAAACTCCATATTCTATCAAAAAAGAGTGGAGTGTGGACTAAGTTACTAGCTCACATAGGTGAAATTATTTCAACCATTACATAAATAGTGCATACGTTGCAAAGAAAAGAAGACTGTATATGATTTAGACTTTAAAAAGAACGCGTAACCCAGCGGTGAATAAAACCGTCTTATTTATCTTGTGAAATAAATGTTTCAGTGATAAAGATATATAAAAAGTAACATACACCGATCCGCATTTTGCTATGCATTCCTCGTAGCTCCGGAAGTCATTTCCATTTTTGTTGCATCCGGTCCATCCAAAGGCTACACATTTCCTCAATTGTGTATCATAGTAGTAGTGGTTGTGATTATCATAGCATTCTTTTCGAAGGTAAGGTTTATGGCAGTTGCCTAAAATTATTCAAACATTTATCAAACATTGATAATCGTGTAACCGTTATAAATTATTAATAAAAGCTTTATTCCAAACAGTATTTAAAATATGCCATTTACATTATCATTATTATTATTCAATAAGAAACGAATGTTGAACTATATCAAGTGGAAATACTCACGCCATTGTAACAATTACAACAGAATCAAATGTCACTTTTTGAGAGTTCTTCAGTGAGTTTCCATTTTCCTGTCACACACTTTTCTCATCACTAAATGTGTCCTAAATAAGTCATTGCGGAATTCCTGTCCACACTTATCCAAGCACACAGTCCTCCATTATTTCTTCTACTTCTACTCGATGAGACGAAAGAGGGAGATTTGTGTACGGATGGGGTGTTCAGAGACTGACAGGATAATATTTGATAATTTCTTCCAGAAGTCCATGCGTGAATCAACAACAGTATCAACGAGTGGGTTAAGCAACAACCCATCTTCCCTAATGATGGCTTTCGATACTTTTCAGATTATGACGAATTCTTTCTCAAGTAAATTAGACAATGAACGATTAGAAATTTCTCACATACGAAGGCAAATTTAGGTGGGACAGATTTCGTTTCACATGGACAGTACAGAACGACAACCAATCAATCAGCGGAATAAGTGATCTTGCGAAATGCATTCACCACAACCATTTATATTCACCCAAATTACACTATCAATCAACTGGATGTGGATGAAAATGAAGTGGTGAGCTCCATTTCTCTAACGTACCAAATTATTAGGTGATATAAATGTATTGCTTCAAACATACATGCAATGAATGAAATATTCCCATATTGAGTCATAAGAAAAGGCACAAACAGCGAAGAAAATTTTCTTTTCGACGATTCATTTTCATGAGCTGTACAATCGTAATTATAATTAAACACATAAGTTTTTTGACCAATCAGATACTGGTAAATTTTGTCCTTGAAAATTCCACTACATAATGTGAGGTGTAAGAAGGGATGACTAATTGTAAGTTAGAAAGGAGACAGAAGTTGGCATGGCCTAATAAGTGTGAGATAATGACTAATCAATAAGCTAGTGAAGAATGGACAGGAACTAGTAGAAAGGCTATAAAGTATTTTTGCATAAGATCTGTGTGGAAAGCAATGTTATTAATAAACAGTAATAGAGTGATAATAAAATGTGGATGATGGGAATAGTAATAATAATAAAAGTATTAAGAACAGTAATAATAATAATAAATAATAGTGAACTTACATAATTAAAGGGAGGAGAAAAATTATAGTAAGAAATTTACTCTGGCCATGGTAGGGCTAGAGAATGTATGCATCGTTTTTGTATGCATAGGTCAGGTTTTAGGTCACGAATAGCTAATGCCTCAGCTATGTACAGATGTCGTATCCGGAGTCCTTTTGTACGATATTGAGGGACTCTGTGTACCACTGTGAAAGATTCGTGTGGGGGTGCTCAATGTCTGGAGATAACAAGGTGTTCGAGGATTGATGTGCAATTGTGATGTGGATTGATATGCAATGTTTGAATAAAGACATCAGAATATACATCACTGATTGAAAATGAAAAACGAGGTTGAAATTTAGTCAGTAGTTCAAAATGGTCTCTTCTAGTATATTAGAATATGTTATAGTATTCCTTGAAACTTAGTGTAACTTCACTTCAAGGAGATTGTGATGTGCAAGAATTGCATCTAATTGACACCGGGATTCAATCAAGACATCTTTATATTCACACTGGAAACTTATTTCAAACCTCATTCCAGTCAAAAGAACCACTTCGACCACAATCTACTTATTTGTAGTTATTGAAACGTAGTGTGAACCATCGCATTTGTGACTATATCCTCACAAAGCAAAGCAGGATGCTATTAAATAACCTGGTAAATAACAAATAGTTTGAGAAACATTGTCAAATTAAATCGATGAAAGTAATTATACTCGACAGCAGCTATATCGCATCTACAACCAATAAGCCGCTCTTTACGTCAGTACAGTTTGTCCATGGTACACTTATAATGTGTCGAAACAAATCTCTGGAGAGAACTGTAAATCTTCACTGATTGTACTTTTGTTTCTAGATGAATAGCAGTGTCACCTCATCTGAAGTATCAGCTGCCTAGTTTAGTCATCTATTTATTCGCCTATGAATTCATCAGTGTTTTTGGATTAGGTTATATATCCCTTCGCTCTAAATATTTCCAGAACACAATTTTTACGTCAGATGTTACCGATAGTGGAAGCCAACCATCGGTTATTATGTACACAAAGGAGACGGAAGGCTTCAGTCATCACTAAAACCTGACGATCTACCGAGTATTTAAACTCTGAAATTCCAAAGCTTGAACGGATGTATGACATTACTAACGGTGAGGAGAGTGAAATATCCGATGATAAATCCTCATAAGATTTCTACCAACGACAACTCACGTCTATCGAATGTGCCACTGAAACAAGGAAAGAAGTGAAGTAAGAAACGGTATCAGGTGCTGCCATATCATTATTAACTACAACAATTTATCAGTAAATGTAGATCAAACCCTTTACTAGTAGTTCAGAACCAGTTTTCATTTGAAACTGTATGCCACTTTTAGTTTACATGAATAACGAAAGTGTCAGTTTCAGGGGTATCAACCTTTTTTCGAAGCGGCGTTTAAAAATATTGAAATAACCCTATTCAGTGACCACAGATTTCACTTGATATGACTAAAAAAATCTACAAAGTACTCTTGCTTGCAATAGCCATATATTTTTGGAGTGTATCCGGCTTTGTAGATCATTTCAAACTTATTTGTTTATGAGCTATACGTCTTGAGGTTGTTGTGACAATTTCTGATTGGTATCGCTGTAAAAATTGAAGAGATTACCTCCTTTTTAAGGAAATTATTTTCGACAAACCACCTGAAAACTACGTAGTCTCAGTCAAACCAAATAAAAAGTAACTTGTGACAATTAAAAATGTTGGCTTTATGTAGTATGCAATTACCTTGAATTACACGTTAATAAACATGTCTCTTTTGTGAAAAAATTATTATCGTTTCCTCCATATCCAAGGTAGATGAATGTCATACACTCTCCAATAGTCGCATTATAATAATACTTTTCCAGTGGGTATTTACCATAACCTTCATCTTCACGATAAAAGCAGATTTCTGAAATGAAATGAACCAGAACGAAATTAACCGTAGTCGTTTTAAAATAGTCAGGTCTCCTGAGTATAAATTAACTAAAATTTATCAAATTAATTTTTCTCATAATGGAATTATACTCTACCACAGTACACAAGTTCTCTTCTTACAATCGAAATTTCATTTGTTATTGAGTATCAAACTGCAGTGACACTTACTGTTGTACGATAATGAACACTTCTGGAAAATCAGTATAAGCAAAATTATTCCGAGCATATTATATTTCCAAAGTTGTCAGTTATTTCTTCCTTATATATATATATATATATATATATATATATATAATTCTCATATGAAAACAGACAGCATTTAGTATAGTTGTTGTAATTTAGTAGAATGGTGAAGGGGTGCTTTAATTCACGATAGATTTCAGACAATAATGTCACGTGTACTTGTTTGTAAACCGAAGTATAAGCAACTTAGATATGTTTATTAAATTTACTGTTGAGAACGTGTCTCACTGGTGGTAAAATTCCATCACGAATTAAAAGTAGTGACATTACGTTTTGTATATTTCGGCTTCTCAGTATTTTCTTCAACGTGAAACTTCGTCCATTATTTATGCCCTGTTGAAAATGATTATTGATGGTCACTCTCTATACAAAATGTATATTGATGATACTATCAACATAAGTGATAATAAAAGTGAACTAAATGATCTACGACAATATTTGAATAGTCACCACTCAACCATCAAAATCATTGTTGAAACAGAAACTTGAAAAAAATTCCGCTTTTGAAGTTCACACTAACAAATACATTTAATAGGGAATTCAACGGAATAGTATGGAAAGGGACTTCGTGAAACCACCAGCTGACAAAAGATAAAATTTGGGTGGTGACAAGTCATACTCCAAAACCTGCTGATAACCCTCGGAACATAACCCACAGAACCTGCAACTTGACGTTAACAGATGAAGAAATCCCACTTGTGAGGAGGATTCTAATTCAGAATACATATCCGCCATGTTTTATAGCTAAGCACAAAGGAAACAAACACAAACAATTACATATCTCTGCAAAAGAGACTGTTACACACGATAAACACATATAACGAAGAACTACTTGACGATGCTTTAAAAAGATGCAACCTGCAGTGAACAATAGCTTCCACATTGAAATCAAAACAGAAATTCTCCTGCCACTCAATATTCTCCACTAATTCTGAATATACAGTTTTTAATCTTTTTGTTCACTCCTACGTGTATCCGCTGATTTACTCGTTCATGTAGAGCACCCGTTTTGCGTTTTTATCTTCAGAAATCAAGATTCACTATCTAACATAGCTACAGTATGATCAACACGTCAATCAGTAGTTTCACAGCTGCACTTACATTTTAAGTTGCTTACTCAAAATTGATTCACTGTCAATTGGGCAGTAGGTGCTTTTGTAGCTATGAACTACTTGGGTCTTAGGTAAACCACCTAGAAGTTATACAGAAACAGAAAATCAGTGAACATCAACACTTCGAATGAAGCAGCATTTTCAATATGATATAGATAGAGCGAGGCGGGACGAATGTGGCCTGATCAGATATACAGCTTCAGAAGCACCGATAAAGGATGCGGACTCCTCAGTAGTTATTCTTATGCCAATAACACAGAAAGCCTAGGATTAGGAAAACCACCTAATGAGTGAAAGAAAGGATACCTGATAAATCTTTTGAAGAAAAGAAGGGTGGAAGAAAGATTTTGTTGGTCACATTTAGAAATATACAGTGCCTAGGTATCCTGCAGGGAATTCAGCTCCTTGGACTTTGAAATGGGTTCGGTCCTACAGTCACTGACCTTAACTGATTGAGATATTATCTGGTGGTCAAACTGAAAACTCAGTCGATTCTTCTATAACATACGACAGTTCGCTTCTTGTTATAAACAACTGTGCTTAGGGAAAACTTGACAGTTTCTTACCATTTTCACCTTCAGGCAAATTGAAAACATTTATTTCTCAGTGTGAATTGAAAAAAAGCAACAAAGGTTATTGAAGCAGGATTAAATGAATTCACCAAATTTCGGTTGAACTATTGCTCATACATACACGGATATATACATATATACCTTTTAAATGATATTGGGAAATATGACTGAGAAGCAAATAAAATACATTGAATCAATCATGCAGGAAGATAGGTGCGAATGTTTTCCAGGTCATATTCGAATAGATAAAGGGGGAGGGGTATAAGAGATCACAATTAGGACGAATTGTATCACGCTGCAATTACATAACTTAGATAAACAAATAGTTTTTGAAGAATATATCAAGAATTGTAAAGAGATTGATGTCAATAGTAACAGTGATAATAGTAATAACAATAATATTACGGTTGAAGTCAGTTAAGATAATGCTACTGATAAAAGATGGTGCGTCGGTGGCACAGTGGTTAGGACTATCGCCGACCATGCACATGGTCTGGGGTTCGAGCCCACGCCGACGCACACCTGATATATGTTGTCGGCCTGCGAAATTTGGGCTACCGATATCCACGCTGCAAATTCCATACTTGTACCAAAAATACAGTGTGGAATCAAGCTGTAATCAAAAATAAATAAATAAATAATAAATGAATCAAGAATAATCATAATAATAAGAAGTAGAATATTAAGTAAAACGTATTACGATGGTACATTTAGGGGGATGACCATCACCTTTTGTACACAGAGCCTTGGTTTATAAACTCGAATTACTCAAGACTGTGCAACTGCAGGCATCTTCCCGTTTCTTTGTCCTCTGACAATAGTGAATGACTTTACAGAGTCGATATAATATACATAGTCCACAAGATGTTTTGTTATTCAGGTTTTTGACACTTTGCACTGGAATTTTCAGCATGGATATCGGTAGCCCAAATTTTTCAGGCTGACCATAGATATCAGGTGTGCGTCGGCAGGGGATCGAACCTCGGACCATGTGCATGGTCGGCGAGAGTTCTAACCACTGGGCCACCGACGCACTATGTATGACCTATGTATTTGCTTCCACGAACACACTCAAAGATATATTCGCGGTTTGAAGTGTCGAGGATTGGCGACTGGTCCTTCTCGGATTGTTGGAGCACTCGATTGTTGGTGTTAAGGCAAACAGGTTTTATGGAATAATAAGTTATCTTGATAGCTTTATCGAGCACTCATCTGATTAGATCTTGTACATCATCTCTTTCAATGGCAAACCAATATAAACAGATTCCTTTTTGCATGAGTGATTCAATGTAGTTTATTTGCTAATCAGTCTTATATCTCGCAGTGCAATTTCAAAAGTTTGTGTATATTTCCGTGTATGTAGAGTATTCAGGTGACAAGTTCTACAGAAATGTGATGAATTCAGTTAAATTAATGAAAATCTCTATTTAAGAAATACGCTCATTACACATTCGTTAGTATGCAATAATATCTGCTTAGGCGCAAGCAAAACTCATGCATATTTCATCTGAGGAATGTCTGCGTTTCACTTTCGAATAGGTTACAAGGTTTTCGAAAACAAATGTCAGTCAGAAGATGTAACATTAGTTTTAATGAAATGTACTATAGTTGACTTCATTTAGCATTAGCGTTAGTTGTTTCAACAAATAGTGTCACCGGGGGTTCACGGGTCAATGTGTCAACACGCCAAACCTCTGTAGCTGTCACGACAATTGCCTGTAAACTCTCATTTTCCACCAACAGAATGACATTCATATAAATCCTTAACAAATGACAAACAACCTACTCGCCTGAAATTAATGGATACTCAAACCTGAAGGCTAATAATGAAAAACTGTATCTTAAATTATGTGATAATCTGCTACATATTTTTGCTGAATAGGATATGTGTTACATATTATTCCCTGGAGTTCCGATGTGGACACAGAGATTCAACTGCACATCTGCACATTTTCCTGTTTTCTGCCACCCTCTTCAGTCGGCTTCACGATGGACCATACTCTCACCGCTTCCTCACACGATCTCCTCCGTGTCTCCCCACGACGACCCACTCATTACTTTGCATTGTGATATTACTCGCGGTCCTGACGTGCGATGTCATTCGGTGGTGTTCTCCGTGTTTCTTACATATTTGTTGAATGATTGGTTGGTTTGCTACCATATTTTTGTGTCGCTTATTCTTTCTAGCTATTCTATATTCAGTATGAAGCCAGTGAAGTCTATAGGTGTTGATGGAAGTCTATAACCTGTTGGAAATGCTTTTCTTGATACCGTGGTCGAGTTTGTGACCCGCATAGAAGCACCGACAGATTTCACATCGGTGTTTGATTTGAGAATATGGTTCCTTATGCGGAGTGTGGAAGATTGCTAGACTGGTTTCAGGTTGATGAAGGTGTACCTTGCCTTTCCGATTCTGACTCTGTCATCCCGTCCATTAAGCTTGTAGTCGAAAAGCCGCTACCTAGCCGGATAAGTGAAGGGGGCAAACTCTGTTAAGGATATCCTGTTGATTGTGATTTGTGGTGGTAGTTGCTACGGTTCGTTGGTTATCCTCATCACCTCCATGAACGAAGGTACATAAAATATTATCGTCAAAATTAGTAAGAATAACAAATTGGAATATATTTCAGTCAGAGAAAGGAAGGGCTCAGGACAGTGTATCTCTGAAAGCACGACCGGATCTTCAACCGTTCAACCTCTCAGGATTAGATGAGATACAATTGATTGGAACTTACGCGAACATGGATAACCTTTTCAAGGCTTTGAAACTCTGATTTTGTGGTCGCCATCTGCCAGGTCATATCAGGCGGGCATTCACTCTGCATTCGAATTATCCAGATGATTCGCCCTCTGTGAATCCGGGCTTTCAGAAGACTGGTTGGTTGTATTCAGTGTTGCTTGATTTTCATATTCTTAGTACAAATGGGTAAAAGATTTATGAGTTCGTATTCCAATAAATAAAGCCAGTCGAAATGCTAAAACTGTCTTCATAGTGAGCGGAGTGCCAACAGAAATAATTCGGGAACTTGACTAAATTCTAACGCCCAATCAACAATGTAGTATATGAATAAATTATGAACCTTGACTATTTGTTTCCCTGTTAACGCGATGGCTTATCACTGCAAGGAATATGATCATTGAACTTATCTGTTATATCGGTTATGAGCTGAAAATATTTGGACGACCTACTAGTTCCATAACGACTTCCATTAAAATTTCATAAACATGGTGCGTAAAACAAGAATACTCTCTTCGATATCTGCATCATCAGGTTCTACATTTGCATATTTATGATAGTTAAACAACGTTTG